GAGCCCACCTCCCCTCACTCCAACTTGAAACAGCTCTGAAAGCACCTCCCAGTCTCAAAGCTCTCCCTGGGGTCCATGAGGCTTCTGTGGCAGCTGCACTACAGCTCCTTCCAGGGAAGCCTTGTCTCCCCTGGTCCCCACCAGTGGTGCCCCTGGGGTTGCTCCCCAGAAAATTCTACCTCCTGCATAGGACTTTCTTACTATGAATTGAACAGTTTAATGCATTGTTGTAGTCAGAATTTTTAAGGGAATAGATTTAATACAGGACATATAATATAGAGGATTATCTTATAATATTCACCCAAAAAGTCAAATCAGAGGCGTGCAAGAGATCTAACCACATACTAGAGACCAAAAGAATCCAGCTAAGGGCCTGGATCCCAGAGAAGTGTCCCACACAAGTCCAGCTAAAGGCCTAGAGCCTAGGGCAATGTCCTCCATGAGATCAGCCAGAGACCTAGAGCCCAGGGCAATGTCTCATCCACACCAGGAAGGCCCAAAGGCCAGTGGTGGAAGCTAGAAAGCCTGCACCAGCAGGATGAAGGGTCTGTGCCACCAGGCTGAGAGATCTGCACCAGAGCCGGGAAGCAACGCTCAAGGCGAAGACCAGGACTCCCCTGACTAGAACAGCAGCCATTCCCAAGGACAGCAAGGACCTGAGCTCCTCTGAAGAGAACAGCCAAGTTCACATCAGGAAAAACAGCCATGGCAAACTTCTCCAAGAAAATCAACAGCATACAATCTTCCCCTCCAGTTCTTTTTTATACCATTGCCAACAATTGTTAGGTGGGTCTTCCACACCCAGGACCACACTGACTCAGTTCAGCTGGGCATTCCAAGTTAATCCAACACATGCATCTTTAGCCTTTACCAACATACCCCAGTTTTCCAGAGGAAAATTCAGATTTGTGTGGCTGCCGATTTCCGTGGTGTGAATGCTCCTGTGTGACAATTCCACACTACCATCCCCTATGTGTGGAACCAGGAAGAGATGTGTAAACCAGGCTCTGGTGAGTGGGGAGGAGCCCATCCCAGCAGGCCAGCACACCCACGTATGTGTGTCTGTGTGACTGGAACAGAAGTGTCGGGGCAGCCCGACTCTCCCAACCTGCTTTTCTAGTGAACTCTGATTTCTCTATCTCTTTCTAACGCCCATATCTAACCACTGGATTCATTTGAAGGCCTCTTATGGGTTGCAACCTGCAGTTTGAAATGCATGTGTTGGGAGAGGGCCCTGCTTGGCAGAGCAGGCAGCAGCTGAGTGCCAGAAGGAGGGTGTGTTTGAGGGGCCAGAGTCTTTCTGCCTGGCCCGAAGTGAAAAGCATGCAAAGCCTTTTTGCAGATTTAGTTCCCCAAAGTACTTAAGGCATCTTATGATGCCCTGAAAAAGTGCTTTTGCAAGAGGAAGATTTAGGTTGTCCACCAAGAACTAGTTTTCTAGTGGGGCTTACACCAACCACACCAAGACCTACCCATGATACCTCGAAGAAACTCTGGGATTATTCAAACACTGCATTGCATAGTCAAGCCAGAAGCTCACTGGGCAAACAAAGCCACATTCCACTGTTAAAACAGTGGCATTGGGCTGGGGATTTAGCTCAGTGGTTCCAGCACCTGATTTGCAAGGGCAAGGTCCTGAGTTCAATCCCTGGTACCAAACAACAACAACAAAAAAACAAAAACAAAAAAACAGTGGCATCAATTGGGGTCATCTTTCATGATGAGCTAAGACTTCGACAACAGTTAGCCAACTGGTGGTGAGGATTATGGTGGGGGAGTTATGGAAACCAGCACCTTCTGCTGCTCAGGGTTTGATCTGAGCAGCACATAAGGGCAAGAGCTGCTGTCAGTTGAGCAGAAAAACAGTGTGTTCCTAACCCACTGCCTTCCACCACCAACTGCGGCCCTCACCTTGGCTCTCCGCAACCGGGTGGAAATGTGGTCCCCTGGTTAAGTTTCTCTTCACGAGCAGCTGAGCCTCCTCTATCTCTTTGAAGATTACAAGGCTTTAGTGTGCCTTTAAAGTGAATTCCCCCCCCCATGTTTTATTATAATTAATGACCAGAAAACTCTTCTCTTTCCCCTCCCTTTATCTCTTAAATATGTTTCTTTCCTCTTTAAAAATGCAATATTTCTTTTAAACCAGTATATGGATGAGCCTGTCCCTAGCAGGGCAGGCCCGGCTTCATCTGTCAAGTTGATTATGCAAAGCCTCTGTCTTTGGCGGGCATCTGAAGTGGATTTCAAAGCCAGGACTCCTGTGTGATTCCCGGCCTAGGACCCAGAGAGCAGCCGTCTACTAGAGCCCGGCCTCAGCGCAGGTCTGGCTTTAAGAGAGGGTCCCTCCATCACCCCAGTAGCTACATGATTCACAGGACTTATGGACTCATGTGTCCATGTGTGTGTGCGCATGTGTGTGTGTGCGCTAACACGATGCCACAGCACACTTCTGCAAACCTGAGCTCAAGGGTGCCTTCCTGGCATCCAGGAGTCATCTCCTTTAGAAGAAACACATCTGCAATCGCTCAGGGGACTGGAATTGAAAATTCATTGTGCAAAGATGTAGGAATAGCCGTTTTTGCAATAACAGGAGGTTGTTGCTGTTTTTCTCTTAAATGCTGCATGGTACCTGTGTGCAACACAACAATACACAGATGTCCACAATACTAAGTGCAAAAGAGCAAGACTCAGAACACTAGTTACAATACACATGCCCAGGTATGAGTCTGTATACGCACAGAATGTATCAGGAACACAAGTTCTCAACCTCAGCGCTAGTGATATTTGAGGATGGATCACTCTTTGTTGTGGAAATGTTGTCCTGTGTATTATGGGATGTTTAGCAGCATCTCTGACACCTTCTATCAACACCACCCAGATGTTACAACCCAAACTGTCTCTGAGCATTGCCCAGTGCCCCCAGGGCAATATCACCACCCTTACCCCTCTACCACCACTATTAAGAACCACAAATCTGCAAAGAGACACACCAAAATGTCAATACTGAATTCTGAGTAGCAGCATTAGGAAGCAGGATAAATGAAGTGAAATTAAGCTGTATTACTTAGCAGGGGCAGGAGAGTGCTTTCATGTGAAACAATGTTTAGGAAACCTGATTCAATAATCAAATCTAGTTTATAAACAAAGCCAGGTTTCTAAATTCAGAAAGTCCCCGTATTTAAAGCTTCCTGACAGAGCTATTACTGGGCAAAAGGTCTTCACTGGAAACATAGGTAGGGTGCCCCTGGGGGGTCTGGATCAGGGCAGAAGTGTGTTCTCAACATAAGACAAATGAGCATGCACGTTTTTGTGGTTGTTCAGACTGTGCCCTTGACAGAAGCTTAATTTGGGTGGAGGAGCTTTGGCAACATGCAATCTTTCAAATACTTTCTGCAAAGTACCACTTAATCCTCATGTTCCTGCCATAGCCGGGCTGCGGTTTTCCATCAGTACAGCGGGGAAGGGACTGGCTCACTTTGCCTGCACTAAGGGACACCCTGAAGTCGATTTAACCAGGATGGTACAGGAACGATGCAGTACTGAGAGGCCAAATGTGGACATCACACTCTGGAAATCTGAAAGGAGACCTCTTTACAGACTGCTCCTTGAAAAGATGCCAGTAAAATAATTTGGGGAAGTAGATTTAGAATCATAATCTCCGGAGACTGTAAAACTCTAGAGGCCCATGCCCCATCCCAGGAGGGGCCCAGGTCTCTCTCTGTACTCTTTCAACATCCTAGGGGATTGTGTCATAGCCTCACCCCAAGGGAGGCTAGACACAGCTGCATATGCTGCTAATGTAAGGCTCACTTTCCTAGGCAAATGAGAGTGAGAATCAAGTGCCACGGGCCCAAGGTCTCATGGTGAGGAGGTCAGTCCGGTTTTAGAACTGGCTTGGCTTAGCTCCCTAAGGGTCAATCATCTCTCTCCCCCACAAAATGGAACGAGTGGCTACAGAAATGCCCAGCCTTCTGTGGTGAGCAGAGAAGAGGACAGAAGGACATGGGTGGGAAGCTGGTGGGTTCAGACAAAGCCTGGAATTTCGTTCACAGGGATGCACGGAGGTTGAGTCTTAGTTTGGACAAGATCCCATGGGAAGAAGTGAACCAGGGGAAGCCAGGGAGGGACAGGGGGAAGTCTGTGTACAGTCAGCATGTGCCCCACAGGAAGGACGGTGGAGAGCACAGGTCAGGATCATGCACTTTCTGTCAACTCCGTGGCCCAGCTCTGTCACTTACCAGCTGGAATATGCTAAGGAAACCAGCTGGAGTTCCCCGACGCTTTGCCTCGACTTCCCCGCCCATAACATGGTGACCATAGATCCTGCCTCATAGCGTTATTGGGGATTGAATGGTTCAACCTAGAGCACGTGCACAGTGCTGCCATGACTGCCTTTCCAGACGTGCTATCGGTTGCTACTTACTATGCAGCCAGTGTCTGCCGATCAAACCAGGTCACTCAAACCCTCTGACCAGCTCAATGCCAACTTCTTGCCATGCTGTTCTATCTAGTAGCCAGCTGGTGAGTCTGGTCCCCACCTCTCAGGAGTGGCCTGCAGCACACACAGCACAGCTGACTTCCTGTCCTTCTGCACATGCTCACGGCCTGCAGAGGCTCTGTAGGGGGAATATTTCTCATACCCGCCTACACCACTCTACCCTGAGTTAAATCAACCCAGGGTTCTCTCACAGTGGACGAGGGTGTTCTGTGCAGCCTTTGTTGTAATAGAAGATATTGGAAATAACCTAAGTGCTGTCAAAAGGGGGTGATTTATGCAGAGGTGCACCCACCCACACACTGCAACAGCCTGAGTGGGTGAGGCGGATGAGAATATACCCTGGGGAAGACCCCTGGTTCACACTCTGGGTGATATTTCTCCATGGTTTGCAGTGGTCAATGCTGTGTGAAAATTAGGTGAAACAAACAAAACTTTAAAAGTTAAAAAAAGAAGTGAACATTGTTGACATGACCAGAAAGGATTTTAAATGTTACAGTAATTTAGTTAACATAATAGTGGTAGATTTGGAGATGATTGACTTGAATTTTGAAAGAGGTTAAGCAATTAATAAAGTACCATCAAATAGCAGTATTGCATGCTACAAATCTTTTAATGAAAGAAAAAGTCAATCAATGGGGGAAAAAATTAGGTAAAATGTTAAACACGTATATTTAAACCTAGAAACACACCTAGAACAATGCAAGCCCGGTGTGCTATGGAAGGCTCTGCTCTCTATGCTGCCTGGGGCTGGTAACCACCAGCAATGTGTGCTACTGAGCCCATGGGATGTAATCAGTGTGACTGAGGAACTGAATGTTAGTTATGGTGGATTTTAGTTCATTTAACTTGTGGTCACCTCATCAGCCAGGTATCGTATTGGATGATGAAGATCTAGAAGGCTACAGACCAAACTTAATAGGGCAGAGGGGACTTTTCCTTTCTTTGTGTGTGTGTGTGTGTGTGTGTGTGTGTGTGTGTGTGTGCATGTGGCATGGTTTGTTTAGGAAATTAATTCTGTATTGTAATAGAAAGTAATACCCTCTTAAATGCAGTATGGTACCCTGACCAGATGCCAAGACAGTAAAAAGACAGTAAGAGAGACCTTGCTGAAATCCAATTCAGGCGTTAGTGAATAGTAATAAACTAATGTTCCCTTCCCTGGTCATTTGGAGGTCAGCATTGGGGGAGGCTGGGAGAGCGGTATATGGCCTCTGTCTGTATTATCTTCACCACTTTTCTATAAATCTGAATTATTCCAAAATAAAGTATGTCCAAAGATTAATACTTGTAAGTTTGATGCTAAATCTTTCCTATGTTTAAAAAATAAACCAGACACTTGAAACCACTCTGATTAAAGACAGGAGCAGAAACGCAAGTGCTCACTGGTTCTGGAAGCATCACTGCTCTGGAGGAGGAGGACTCTGCAGGCCTTCAGTACCCTGCAGAGACCTAGTGGCCACCCAAAGCCTGGCTCCAGCACCAGGCGAGAACCAGAGACACCTCTGCCCTATGGTGCCACTCTGTGACAGGGTGGCACCAAACCTGGCACCTCTGAGGTCCCTTTGGGCTCATCCTGGATGTCTCTAATTATGAGAACGCTGTGACCAAGAACCAAGATCCAGGTCTACCGCGATCTTCACAGCGCCTCCTTGTGGTAGGAGAACAGAGTTGTTTAACTGCTTCCTGTCTAACCAGGAAGAAATCCGGAACTCGCTTCACCTCTGAGCATCAAGCTCTGACCTGAAGCCAGGATTTGCCCAGCGCTGTCCTACAGTGTGCTCCAAGAGTTACATTCTTGAAAAGCACTCTAGAGCCAAAAGGCCCTAGATCGCGCGTGTATTTCTACCTGTAAGGTTTCTCAGTTGCGGTAAGAATCAAGTGGTCTTGAGATTAAAGCATCATTGAAGACCTGATACATCAGGACAGCTACTGTTTGTTGACACTCAGCCGTCTTACCCCAAGTGTAAAAGATTCTGCAGCCAGCTCCTCTTCTGGAAAGTTACCTGCTCGAGCTAAAGAAGAAGGGGGGTGGGGGTGGGGCTATACATCTTGATGACTTAGTTCCTAGCGAGGATCAGAAAGGAGCCCAGCGGTACTAAATCCCAACCGGAGAGAAGTCTAGAGTTCCTGCTACGGGTCTGTTTTGTCATCAGTAGGAGTTTTGTAGCTGTCTTCGTGGTCAGAAAAGCGAGCAATCGGTCTCTTCCTGAGAATAAGAGGGAAAGTTTGATAAATATGCGTGTCTGTTTCACTCAGCATCGCGTGACTCTCAGGCTCTCTGTCAGGAGCTCGCCCCACGTTGATGTGACAAACCCCACCTTCTGGGTTGGCAGGGCTGCCAGCTCCCACCCCAGCCCTGGTGTCACGTGGCCACATCTGCCACCCGGAGCCTTGGTCCTGACATGAGTAAATAATGACAGCTAAATCAAAAGCAGACCGCGGCTCTCTCCCCAGCAGCCTGCCCCTCTGCCCGTGGGCTTTTGGGTCGGGGGTCCCAGGGGTCTGTGTCTACACAGTCTAGAAGCAGTGACTTCAGAGAATGTCTTTCCTGAGGTTTCCTCCTCAGCAGAAGCCCGCTGGTCCAGTGGGGGAGAGGGAGGTTAGGTTGCAGGGTGACCTTCCATCCCCACTGCAGGTGTAGACTACTGTGACATGCTGCCAGCCCTGCCACCTTCTGTGGGAATACTCCAAGGCTCGGGTGAGAGGAGAGAGGTATGAGCAGAAACATTTGAGAGAAGTTTGCACCCATGCTTTGTGACATGACCACGCTGGCAAAGCAGGCGTGGGCTCCACTCACGCAGACCAGAAGCTCGGCTTGGGAGAGCCCTTGCTCACCCACCAGAGGGGCTGCAGCCCTCTTAGGTCCACCAGGCAACCTCCTCTGCTGGCTCTAGGACACAAGGAGCAGCCTGGCCTCGGCTGTGCGTGCCCGGGAGGGCCGCTTCTCCCAGCTCCCTCTGCTGCCCAAGATCCAACAGCCAGGACCCAGCTGGCCTGAGCCATCCTCAAAAGCTGTGGCCACAGCCTCTGTGGGACAAAGTGGTTGGGTGACTGGACACAGGAGGTCTTCCTGCCTCAATGCCTCTCCATCCTACTCTGCGTCTCCAGAGTCTCGTCCTGCCACCTGCTGGCTCCCAAGTGCCCCGCCCGGGGCTCCCCACACAGCTGCCCACACAGCGCCATTCCCAATTGCTTCTAAAGACTTGCAAGCACCAGGAGACGCTCTAGAGTGGCTGCCCCCTGGAGACCTAGGCGGCCCTCAGGGTAGGCTTTATAAGCTTGTTGGCCTCTGCGAGTCTCAGTTTCCCCACCTGTAAAATGGAACTGCTTGCACCCGTCTTAGCAGATGCTGAGAGCAATGGCTGGCTCGTCGTGTCACACTAGCGCTACCTAGAGGCCCACTGAATCCTCGCAAAGGTCAAAGGGCAGACGGATCTGCTGCGTTTATTGCCTCCCTTCCTTCCGAACAAGATGATTTTCTTCTTTGTACGTGACAGTTTTGCCGTCCACAGCAACACTCTCCGTGATTTCAGCATTATCCATTTAGACCACTCAGTTATTAGCACTGACGAATCCAGACTATCCAGTCTATCAGAGCAGATCAGAAAATCATAATAAGCTTTCAGCCAGTTAACTGAAAATAGAGAACGGTGAAACCTGATATCCTGGGGAGAGGAACTGCATTAAGGCCGTGTAGCCATTAGCCAATTGCCAGTTATTTAAATAACACCCAGGTTGGACCTGCTGTGTAAGCCCTTTCACTGTTAATTTCCCCGAGTCTCAGTTTCCCCATCTGTAATACGAGCAAGGGCAGTTGATGATGCGAGGGTTGCACAGTTCGCTTGCTGCCTCTGCGGGTCACACAGTGAGCAGAGGCAGAAGGAGGACTCCAGCTCTGGCATCTTGGCCCCTGCTCAGTGCCTCTGGCCACCCTGTTCCAGGCCCGCGGGGGACCCCTGAGCACCCCCAGGGCCTGCATCTCCAGCTATGCTGTGAACGCCAAGGGCGCGGAGCCCCAGCAGGATGGGGGCCTCCCCCCAGGTGCAGCCAGTTTGTTATTCCGGCCCGGCCTCCTGGGGTGGGCGTGGCGTCGTCCCCAGAGGACGTTGAGTAATAACTGGAGAAAGGGCCGCGCTGGTTCCCAAATAAACAGGCTCGTGAGTGATGAGGGGACCCCTTCCTCCCACCCCCACTCCAGGCAGCTGCGGCTGCCAGCGCCCCGCACACGTTTCTTACACGAAGGCGAATAAACACCAGCAGGACCCACTTCAAAAGCCTCCAAGGGCAGCCGCCGCTGATGGAAGGAACGTGCTTGGGGGGCTGGGCCGGGCCCAGGGGCTGGGGTGGCCTCCGCGAACAGACGGCCCGAGACGTCCAAATACATCAGCGGGGAGGCCTCAAAGGCCCAGAGACTGAGAGCAGGAAAAATAAATAATTCCGTTATCTCTGATGAATTTTTGCCTTTGATCTCATTTCCCCCCTCTCTCTCACTCTCCTTCCATCCATCGCTCTTTCTCCCCACCCCCTCCCCTGATTTTCCACTCCCCACTACCTTTTTTTAAACCTTTCCTCCTTGCCATTTGATTTATGCCCCCAGCAGCTCGGAGCCTGCTGCCCGCTGATGGATTGGTGGGCTGATTCTGCGGGGCGACCCCGAGCAGGCAGCTGGGAACTGGGCAGGGGGAGGTGGGGTGGTCCCTTCCACGCAGGCGCGCCCGAGGGAGCGCTGTGTGGGCTTCCGTGAGCTCGCGTGTAGAAGCATGTTCCCGTCAGAGCTTGGGCCGCTGCTTCCTCTGCTTGTGTCGCATCTTTGCAAGCCAACAAGAGAAAGAGGAGAGATGAGCTTCCCTCCCTCCCCACTGGGAGAGAGATCCATTCCAAAGCGCTTCACACAGGCTTCGGGTGTAGCTCAGTGGTGAGCATCTGCCTGACATGCTCAAGGCTCCGGGTTCCAGCACCACCACCACCCCCAAATCCTTACCGTGTTCCAGGCTCCAGGAATCTTGCGGTGACTTTGGTCACAACTTGGAGGCAGCAGACTTCAGTTGTTCTTTGTCAATCCGGACAAGGTGGTGCCAGTGTCTTAGGTCCTGGGCTCACCTGCCCAGGCTCAAATTCTAGCTCTGAGACTCACTAGCTGCTTGACCATAGCTGAAGGAAGCAGCTGAGCCCATTTCCTCACCTGGGAAATAGGATTATAAGTCTGCATCGTTAGGAGTAGATGAATTAATACTGAGGGCACCTGTCACCCTCTATGGGGGTGCCGAGCACATTCTGTCCACTGCAAGTGGGGAAGACAGGCAGAAAAGTATGAAGCCCTAGAAGTAGTTAAATTACATGCAGGCAGTTAGGCATGGAGGGGCAGGCTTCTAATCCCAGCACTCTGGGAGGCTGAGGCAGGAGGACCACCAGGTTTGCCTAGCCTAGGAAACTTAGTGATTCAGTGAGACCCTGTCTCAAAATTTTTTTTAAAAATGTTTTTAAAAGCTGAGGATATAGCTCCATGTAAAGGCCCTGGCTTCAATCCCTAGTATTGCCCCTCCTCCAAAAAACATTAGCCTGAGGCTTCAGAAAAAGCTGTTTAGGAGTGAAATTGTCCAGAACATCATGTGCAAAGGTCCTGGGGATGAGGCATTCAGGAATTAAAAGCTGATACCATTGGAGCCTGGAAATTCTCTGGGTAGGAAGAACAATGAGACTGGAGGGCTGACCTGACATCAAGGTGTTAACATTCCCCAGGTGACTGTACCATCCAGCAAAATTCAGGAAGCACTGTGACAAAAATCCACATGTGTGCCAGACATGGGGCCAAAGAGATCACACACCCCAACCTTAATCTCTATCCCATCCTCTCTGAGGTGCCTTGGACCTGTGTAACCACACAGATTAAATCACTCACCCCAAAGATGCAGATAATATATGTTTCATGTTTGAACTTGAGCCACTGACCCGGATGCAGGACTCCTAACTGTGGTACTAATGGCCTTCCTACCTCGGCAACAGCAAGGATAGAGAAGAGATAAATGCTCATCGTCAACGTAAAGATCTCTGTCTTGAAACTGTTTCCAAAGCTTCCCATTTGGCTCCAAGGGAGAAGAAGTGAGAGAGGCCATGGGTGGGGATCTTTGCCTTCAAAGCTGGTGCGAGGTTGAAGCTTCTGCTTATGCAGGTGGTGGTGACCAAGGAGAAATGCTGGCCTCAGCATTGCTCACCGGAAGCCTTGCCAACTTTGTGCCCCCTGACACGGATTTTATCTAAATGACCACTCCTTAACACATCGGGTCTATGCCTTGGCGAGTCATAGCCACTATGGACTCCTCCTCTGGCTTGGCCGCTGTACTCTTGCCAGGTTACCCTTCAAATCTGGCTACACTGTGACCTTCCCTTACTCCAGAATCTACCATGCCATGTGGTTTGATTATTATAGTTGAATGTTTACAATATTACATGAATGGGCCACAACATATCCCTTCTGCTTTGGAGATTTGGTAGCTTCCAGCCTGGGATTACAATAGCCACAGCTGCTCTAGACATCCCTGGGAGTGTCTGCAGGTTCTGGGAGTGGAACTGCAGGGCCAGAGTATAGAGAGCAGCACAATGATTTCAGTGAATGATGTCAACCTGGCTTCCAAAGCGATCTAGACCCTCCCGACAGTGGGGTGTGAGGGTTTCCACTGGCGCATGCCTCTGAAGGCACTGGTCTGCCTGGAGATGCTCTGCTCCCCACCCCAGCATCTCCTATGCTTCTGAGACCCTTCTCTTACACCCTTGTCCCTTTCTTTCAAGCTCTTCATTTGATCCTTAAGCTAAGGGAGAGGGTGGTGGGACCCCCACTTCATGGAGAAGCAAGCTGAAGGTCACCCCAGGTCCAGGAATGGGGCGGGACCAAAGCTGGTGTCCACTGTGAATGCAGAGCATCATTACCTTCAAGGATCAGCATTTCCCCACTGCTCCCTCCCCTAGGGCAACAGGTGGGGAATAACTTTTCCTGTAGGAGTTGACTCAATCCTAAAAGTTTGTAGCAGTGTGGTTTGGCGACTTCTGCAATTCCAGACCATTTCAAGGCTTGTGCCCAGCTTTGGGATGGAGGGAGGTGATGTGGGGCCTGGGAGGAGCTCAAATGCCATGATTCAGGTGCCACCTCTGTGAGGAGCTAACCATGTGGCCTTGCGCAAGTTTCTCAATTTGGCTGAGCCTCAGTTTCCTTCCAGGTTCCCGGAAGTACTAGCACCTCCAGGGCAGGTTAGACAAGTTCATGGCAGGTAGTAAGCCCTTGTGTGCCCAACACTTCTATCAGGACTTTTGAAATATGTCAGACACCACCACATGCGCTCCACACCCCACTCCACCCCCGGAAAAACAGGATATGTTTGAAAAAGAAACCTAGTTCAAGCTGGTAAGATGTCAAGATTGAGGAACTCCTATTCTGTACAACTCAGAAACCCTCAGCCAGAGCTCTGCAGGGTGTGCGTGTGTGTCTGTCTGGCTGGCTGGCTGCAGGTAGGACTGCTAAAAGGGCCCCTCGATTGGAGCCTGGACAACCCTTTAGCAGCCACCCCCGTATCTGCATTTCCTTCCTGATCATCAAGCGAGAATAAAATTTTCAAATTGGATAATTTCCAAATGAAGGATAACATTGGTCCAATTAAAGAGATTAATAAAACTAGGAAAGGTTACAATAACAGAACTAGTGTAAAAAAACTCCCTCACTCCTGGTAGTAATTGACATGGACTTGGTAGCCCGCCCAGAGCACGGAGAGGGCAGAAAGGAAAGACACCCATCTGTGTCCCTGCTATAGGGCAGCACTGGGCACACGGGACCTGCTCAGGAAGCACAGTTTCTTCTCCTGCATGCAATTCAATTCCAGGAGACTCCAAACACCTGGATAAAAAGATAAGATAAGGTGAAGACCCCTACTTTAGGCATCCACAGAAATGAGCAATGGTGGTAGTATGAAGCCAGAATAGGGGAAACAATTAATCAGAAAGTCCAGTTGGGAAACTAAATGACTTAAAATTAGCTAAAATTACACCAATCCTGGCCTCTTCCTCCTGTGTCTCTAAGCTCCTCACTGCAAAGGGCTGAGCCTCTTGGTGCTCAGGGAGCCAGACACCAGAAGAAAGAAACTATGCTCATCTGTCCCCATAAGGTAGGAGTTCTTGGCAAGAGGCCATTCAGTAGTCCTTCTCCTGATGTGTGTGTGTGTGTGTGTGTGTGTGTGTGTGTGTGTGTGTGTGTGTGTGTGTGTGGTACTGGGGATTGAACTCTGGACCTTTGTACTGAGCTACACCCCTACCACTTTTTCTTACTTTTTTTTTTATTTTCTATTTTAATGCGGTCCCTTGCTATGTCACTAAATTACCCTGGCTGGTCTTGAACTTGCAATCCTCCTGCCTCAGCCCTCTACAGCACTGGGATTATAGCATGCATCACCATGCCTGGCTCCTTCTCCTAACTCCTAAGCAAGCACAACCCTGCACTACCCACCCTTGTCCCTCTGAACAGAGCTGAGCTGCCTAGCTTTCAAGTTTCCTCCACAAATTCCCCTCCACGGAGAGAGCAGGCAGGTTCATTGCCCTCTCCTCCAGCTCGATTCCTCGTCACACCTTTCCTGTTGGAAAATCTCCCCTTCCTGGCTGAGGTGGGCAGGGCTGCAGCAGTCATTTGCTGATGCCAGGGGTGCTGCCTGCTTACACCAGCCTCAAAATGCCCCACAGAGTCTAGGAGAGCTTGAGGGGTACCCAGACTGGTCAGAGCCAGAGGGAAAAGGTAGATAAAGGTATAGTAGGTGGTTCCCTGGGGCTGTTGCAGGGGGCTCCTGAGTTATGTATCTAGAGGCACCCGTTGACCCTGATGCGGGGAGACCTCTGTGCTGGGGTCCACCTGATGACAGTTTGCATAGAAAGAGAGATAAAGAGAGATAGTGTAGCAATCGGGGACATGGGCTATAGGGCCAGATGGCAGAATTAAACCCATTTGCTCCAGCACTTTGATCTTAGGCATATTTTATAGCCCCAAGCCTTATTTTTTCTCTCCTATAAAAATGGTAATAATAGTACCTATTTCATGGGTTGACAGGATTAAATACATTCACATGATAAAGGACTTGGACCTCATGTGGCAGCCGCTGGTTAGTATTAGCTGCTATCGTGGTGTTATTCCTCCTGGCCCTGTGTCTGGTATGTGCTGACTGTGGACTTGAGTGCTGCTGTAGGAAATAACTCAGACTCATCTGAGAGGGGAGGATTCCCCTCAAGGAACTGTGAGGGCCAGATGAAGCCCATGCAGCCCCAGTTCAGCTCCATGCACAGAATCCACAGACCTGCATTTAATCCCTGTCCTTCAGCTCAGTGTGTGGCTTTGAGCCGTGACTCAGTATCCTCACCTATAAATTGGAGGTGACAATAGGACCCCATGCTGCTGCGGTGAGGTTTAGATAAAACAAGGCACATGGCACACCTGGCATATGTTAAGGACCTATAAACACCAGGTACAAGTATGTGGATGGAGCCAGGCATGGTGAAGCACACCTGTAATCCCAGTACTCGGGAGGCTGAGGCAGAAGGATCCCTGGAATGCAGTGAAGGCCAGTTTGAAGTACAGAGCCAGACCCTGTCTCAAAAAATTGGATAAAAAAATGATATGAATGGAAGACCTTTGGAAGATAAAAAGTGCAGTCATAAGGACCAAGGTTTTCATGTAAATGAGTCCAATACTATAATGATGGATGGAGGCTGGGCTTCTCTTCCTTTCTCTAGGTACCTCTTCTCCACCCTCACCCCTTCTGGCACCATCTTTCCTTTCTATTTCTTGTGGTTAAGAAGAAAAGACTGCGTTGGAGAGGACCCCAGCCCATTTGTTACACAATTCAGGGAAAGATGCCAAACACCCTTCCAACTGTGGCCTCGCTGCCTCTGATAAGGAGGACAAGGAAAAGTGAATTCTGAAAATTAAGCTCCAGTGTCTCTGAAAGGTCACCTGGCTCTGAGGTTGGCCATCCTGTCAGTGAGAGACTACAGAGCCAGGCAGCCCGAGGAAGAAGGGAGTCTCAGGCACAGGCAAAACCACAGACGGGGACGGCTGGAGAGCGGAAGGCCCCTGCTGTCAGTCTTGGCACTTGTGAGGCCCTCAGGCTGACGGAAGGGCTTCCTGTGAAGCTGACTGTCCCCAGGCACCTTTGGAGCAGCCACTGTGCACAGCAATGAGAACACAGGACTCCTCTCCTCCCCAGAAGAGCTACTTCCTGGCGGACAGTGACCACTTCCTTCCGCCCAGCTGCAGGCAAGGAGTCCACTGGGGCAGGTGACTTCCTGTCACAAAAGACAGGATGAGAGTCCCTCTGAGGCTGCGCTGAGCTCCTGGGGCTGCTCCTTTTATGGGGATCTGCAGGAGACTCGTGACCCCATCACGCCTAGACAAATGGGGCCCAGCTGTGGGGCCCTGGGATATTTTCCAGTAGCCTCATGTGTAGATATGACAGGACCTCGTCATGCCCAGGAGGTGAGAGGGAAGACAGAGGCCACGCCAGGAAGTTGAGAGGAGGCAGCCATGCATGGAAAACTTCCCGTGGCCATGTGGCTGGAGCCACCAAGCAGCATCGAGGCCCAACTTAACTAATTCTTAATTATTAGCACCCTATGTTAATAATGGGGACTTGGATTATGTCACTTGACAGGTGACAACACAGAGGGGCTGGATCCTGGCCCTGCCACTTCCCAGCGAAAGAGCTGGGAGCTCAGCAATGGTCCCTAAATCCCTGTTCTCCCTTGCCATGAGCTGCTACTTCCCCATCTCTCCACCACCTTCCATTCCAGGCAATGGCTAAAGTTCCCCCTCTTCACCACTGCCCACGCCTGAGATCTGGGAGGAGAGGAAAGCCAGCCCCTTCCTGTGGGCCGAGAGACTGGTAGGGGCTTAACAGTGGCATGAGCTCCCCGCCCCGGTCAGAGCTCGCCTGAGTGGTACCAGCCTTTCCCACTGTGCAGCCCCAGCACACATCTTCCCCAAGGCCCCAAGACAGCCCCGAGATGGCCCTGCAGTTGGCCTCCTTGCCTTCTCCCGGAAGCACAGAATGCGTGTGGGAGACACAGGTTGCCTGGCTTGCAGGGGACACCACGAAGCTCTATTTCCTGGCTCCGTGTCACCGGAACAGCATGGATGGGGCTGTGCCACCAGGACACAGGCAGTTTAGCTGAGGTCCCGCTGTCCTCCTCAGGCCACAGCCACACGGCCCAGAGACCTGAAGGCACCACCTCTTAACTGTTCCACTGTCTCCCAACAGCATCTCGCTGAGACTGAGCCTAGGACACATGAGCCTTCTGGAACAGGTGAGGCCCAAAAAGCCGCCCCGCAGTGTGTGCTCCATCATCCACCGCAGGCCAGGGTGGTGAAGGGCACCATGGGGAGAGCCTGGAGAGACCCACACCAACCTGGCTCTGCCCACTGTTAGCAGGTTCATGGGGATCAAGGGACCTGTGCAGGGTCAGTTTGCCCAATGGGAAGGTGGAGTGAGGGCACCTACCTCCCAGGAGACTGCAGGGTTTATACAATAGCGCAGGGCACACAGGAAGCACCGCTGGACTGTTCCGTACAGGGCCCTTGTGTTTCTGTATCTCCTGGGCCAAAACAAATTCTGCTCTGCGCACCCTCTGCTGGGACGGTCACACAGCAAACTGCCGTGGAAGACAGCGGTAGTTTTCCCTGTAGAGCACAGGGCAGTTTGGCCTGGGATCCAGTGTAATAAAAACAGTGCTGCTTCTTTGGTGAAGACCAGGCAGGTGCACCTGCAGCCTTGACAACAGGGTGCAGTCGCCCCGGGCTCAGGGCTTTCCAGCAGGGCTGCAAGCTCACCACAGGCACACGCTCACCTGGATGGCTCACTGGCACTGCTGGAGGACTCGGGAAGCAAGGGGACCCTGGCGACTGTGATGTTCATGCTGCTTGCTGTGCCAGTCGCAATGTATTCTTTTGAGTCTGAACATTCATTGTCAAGAAGTGTGGAAAACTCTCGAGAATTCTGGGTGGAGCTGTGGCCTCTTTTCTAAAGCTGTGGTTACTGTCACTTGCTTCCTACAGCAGCTAAAGCCAACAGGGATAATTCTCACCTCAGACATGGACATATAAAGATTAATTTTGTCTTGATCTTTTCTCTCATACTTAAAGGATATTAGAAACTGGGAACTTTTCAGTCATTCTGGCATCTTATAAGAACCAAAGTTTTACCTACAAATTGGGATCTTATGGTCATATGAAGCTGGTGACAAGTTTGTCCCATGAGCTTCTTGGGTCAATTCATGGAGAAATGAAGGCCTCTAGCAAGTCAGGTTTACATCTGGGATATCATTGCGGAAAGAGCCAGAAATCATCACCTGGCTCCCAATCCCAGCCCCATCCATCATCAATAGTTGTGCCACCTTCAGGAAGTTATTTACCTCCCTCCACCTCTGTTTCCTCAAGTGTAAAGTGGAGATGACCCTCTCACCATTCAATACTCGAGGATGCAATAATCGTATTAACTGAATATGTAACATTTCAAAATATCACTTTCTATCAAACAAGGAAACACACCCCTGCCTCAGCTGTGCACAGCATTTCTCCCTCACCTGTCCAATTACTTTTCTCTCCTTATGTGTGTAATGCCCATCCCTGAGTGCATCATTATCTGCAGTCAGAGAGTCTTCAAAAACAACCGCCGCCAATCCCTCCTCCCTGTGCACACTTGCCATCCCTCATGATGAGAGGAAGAGTTATTTTCTCCTCTCCTTGAATCTGGGCTGGCCCGGGTCCTCACTGTAACTGGAGTGTGGTGGCAGTGAAGTTCTGAGACTTCTGAGCCCCTATGAAGACTTAGAGCCGCTAGTCTTCCTTCCTGGAGCCCAGGCTAGACTACTCATGTTAAGAACCCACAAGCAGAGAGGCCCTGGGGAGAGGCCATCAGCTGTTCCATCCAAATCACAGCTAAAAGGAAGGACATGAAGGACTCCACCTAGCATCACATAGGCAGAAGAACCGCCCAGCTGAGCCCACCCAAATGCCAGGACCACAGTACAAGAGAGGAACTATGATTATTGTCTTCAGTTTCTAAGTTCTGGGTGTTTTGTTACACACAGAAATCATTTGATTCTTCTCATTAGGATGTCAGCTCAGGGATACAAGGATTGTGTCTCTTCTTCACTGTATCCCTGAGCCTAGCCTGATACCTGGCCCTTGGGAATTGCTCACCTATATTAATAGATGGTTAAAGCCATTCATTCAAGCAGCCATGGGCCTGGTTCACCATTGTATCTCCAGTTTCTAGGCAACAAAACTGCCACCCTTTTGTTGCTTAGCAACTACTTGTGTATGATCTTTACCTGGGATCATTTATTTCTGTTTAATAGAGGGCAATAATAGTGATATAAACAAGGAACACTCTCCACACCTGACCCCTCAACACTGGCTTCCAGTTGGTTTCGAGGGGGTTTGTCTGTATCCCTTGATCTCTCCCACCACCCCCAGCCTCTCTGGTTCACCAGCTCTGGGTCCCCAAAACAGGAAGACCTGAAGGTGGGTGGTTTCTGCTTTCCCTGACCCCATCTCCCATCTGCCAAGTGCTCTGGCTTGCAGGCCAGGGAGAGAGATGCCAGCCTCCTGCAGCAGCAGGTCCCTTATCTGTCCCCTTGTCACGGCTCTGCAGCCAGCCCCTTCTCCAGGCTGGGCCAGACAAGCTTGTACATTTGCACTTTTCCCAAGCAGTGTCCACTTTGGGAAGGGCAGCGGGGCCCAAGAACGGTCACCCCCTTTGACAAATGCCAGTGCTGACAAATGCTAGTGCTGGATTCTATTTACAAGCCCAGGGGACAGTGGGAAGAGCAAGAAGGTGCTCAGAGGCCAGTGGTTCCCCAACAACAGGAACTGGAGAGGGCATTGACCAGGTGGACATCTGCACATGGAAGGGGCAGTGTGCTCAGGACTGATGGCCTGTGGTGGGTGGCAGAGCCTCATTCTGCCAGTTTTCTGGCTGTGTCCCTTAGGCAGGTTAACTGACCTCCCTGGACCACGTGGGAATTGATACATCGACATATCTCATCTTGATGATTTTTACTGTCCTCTCCCCTTCTCTCCTGCTTCCCCACAACCCTTCCCATCATCTTCCCATTCCCTACTACTTCTCCTTTATTTTGCCCTTTAAATTATTTATATTTTGAGTTTCTCATATAAGAGAAAGCACCCACTATCTAACCTTCTGGGTCTGATTTATTCCACTTAGCATTATGGTCACTTGCTAATTATACAAATAACTTTCTAACTGAAATGTATTAATGAGCACGGTCTCGCTGAAGCCATTGGAGGCATCTGTCCTCCTCTCCAGCTCCAGGTCACTGTGTCTCCAGCTGGTCCTCCTGGCTCACTTGGGATCTGCAGTGTGAGTCACAACACCCGGGGCACCTTCTCCATGCCCGGCCATGCGCCTGATCCTCCTTCCACTTGGTCCACAGAAGTCATTGTCCCCACTCGCAGAGGGGAGACTGAGGCTGAGCGCTGGAAGGTCCCAAGGACAGCGAGTGGGTTATGCAACCTCAGGTCAGCTGTGAGGTGGCTTTGTGCTGACTCTTCACTGCCCTTGGAGTGAGCACCGCTGTTACTCTGCCTTGCAGATAAAGAAACTGAGGCTGGAGGAGAGGGAAGGGGAACAAGATGCCCCAGCCAGTCAGTGGTGGAGAAGCTGTTTTGCCAGATGTAGAACAACAGGAGGCAGGAGCACCAGGCCGGAAGCTACTGATCCAAGTGGTGCAACCTGCTCAGGAAGCTGCTGCCTTCCCCACTGCGCGTGTAGCATGCGAGGACTCTGTGGCCAGGTCACTGTGAAATGCGGTCACCTTCTGCCAGGAGGATGTTCCCTGGCATCGCCCTCCTCCATGGACCCCGGAGTCTGTGGGAAGATCTGGGCTTAAGGCAAGGATTTGTGTGCAGGGGCTTCCTTTGTAGGTTGTCTCTGGGAAAGGGTAAAGGAGGGCACAGTGTCACCTGCTCCCTGGGGCCTCTGGGATGTGAATTGTCCCTGGGCTGCCTGGACATTAGGCAAGGGCTTCTGCAGTCTGCACCCCCTCAGTCATCACCTATGGGTCACCCCAGGACAAGGACCCCCGGTACCTCTCTCCCTCTCTGCAAATGAGGCAGAGCAACTCCAATATCCCATAGCCAACCTCTCCAAGAGCTGTGGGTTCAGGCCATAGGGACCCCAAGGACACAGATGCCAGGGGATGGGGACACAGTGGCCACAGGGGTCAGCGTGCAGAGCTGGTCGGTCTGCTCTGTGCAGGATTTCGCTCAACCTGGGCGCCTCACCCTGCTCCTGAGACTACCAGGAGTGCTGCACCCTGCATCTCAGCCCCATGATGTCCCCCTTCTCCTGGCTCCATGGGGCATCCCAGGACCGGGCGTCCTTCTTACAGGGCCTCCATGTCCTGCTTTGTGAAATGAGCTGAGAGAGTGGAAAGCCACGATTCCATTTTCTTCCAATAGGTTGTGACCCAGAAGCCTTCAGTATGCAAACAGACCTAGCAGTAATCATCCAGCAGATTCCTCGATCCCGCATCTTCATGCACAGAAAACACTGGGCCGTGTGGGGATGGGCACTGAGTGCACATTGAGGGAACGTGAGCTGCTGGTGCTTTTTGGAAAGCAACACAATAGAAAATTTCCCAAGCTGTGTGGCCTTGGGCCCACTTCTAGAATTCCATCGTCGGGAAATGGAAGTGCAGCGGCAGTACATACACGAAGAATAAGGACGAAGGCTATCGACTGTGGCACATTGTATAACATCGAAACTCTGCGCACGACTCACGGGCCCCTCGGTCAGTAAGTGGCAGGGAATGACACATCCACAGTGCAGAAGAGCATGAATATAAAAAGAAGGACATGGGCCTGGGATTGCAACTTAAAGCCATGTCCAAGACACAGTAATCAAAAGTGTGCACGGCAGAATTAACACCATAGTACAAACCAGTTTTTGCAAAAGGAAGTAAAGCTTGTGTGTGTGTGTGTGTGAGTGAGCATAGAGGAAAATTGAGGGGAGTCCACATCAGATTATGACAGTTGGTCATAGCCCCTGAGTCTCAGTTTTCTTTCTTTTTTTTTTTGGTACCGGGGATCGAACTCAGGACCTTGCGCTTGCGAGGCAGGCGCCAGAACCACTGAGCTAAATCCCCAGTCCCTCATCTCAGTTTTCTTTAACAGGCCTTTACTCAAAGTTACAGAATTAAGTATTAAACCAAAAACCTTGAGGAGCTGCTGAATGGACCAGGGAGCTGGGGAAGGGGCGGCATCGGGCCCAGCGTCCCTCTCACACCCCCGGTGGCATTCTCCTGGGGGGCACAGTGACTGCAGGGCAGTGCCCCCACCTCCCCCTGCCCTGGGCCTCATCTGCGGCCGCCCGGCCAGTCCTCCTGGGCTGTCTCACTGTGACACGGCCCCTGCTGCCCCAGCCCTGACCCCCGCTCTCTGAGAGGTCAAAAGGCCACCATGAGATAACCCAGCTCCAGCCACCACTCCAGAGAAGTGAGGGAGGGGGGTTGCAGGAGGGACCCACCTTTCCCCCAGGCTGCCTATTTCCAGAAATTTCCGTCCTTCTAGGACCCTCCCATGATAACAGCCACTGGGAATTGAGCATTCATTGTGCGCCAGGCACGGTGCTAGCCCTTTGCATACTGTACTGTCCGCTCTGCTGTGAGACTATGGCCCGGTAAAGGTACTGGGTGCTGAAATGTCCTCTGGCATCCCTGGCCTCAGCTTGCCCATCTGTGAAACGGGCATGCTAAGAACAGTACTTTCCTCCCAGGGCTGGTGAGAGGCTTGAAAGTTTATAAGGCACACGAGCATTCTTGTAGCCTCTTATCTCTCTTATCTAAGTGTTCTTAGTTATAGCTTCATATTCTTTTTGCTGTATATATTCTCACACATCGCTGTCTACCTATGGAGATCTATAAATGCGTATACATTAGAACAGAGCCAGTTACTCTCGTCAGTAATTTGTCTTCAGAATGGAAGATAAGAGCCTGGTGTCGGATGCAGACTGGGCTTAGTTTAATCAGCTCCACAAACAACAATTAAGCCAGGGGCCACCCTGACTGACAGGCCGAGGTGGGGAAAGTGTCACCCAGTGCTACTGGTGCGGAGCTGGTGTCCGATGGGAAACCTTCCTGCACTCAGCTGCACCTGCGACGAATTTCTCTGATAAAGGATGATAGCACGGCCGGGGTGGGGTGGGCACTGTCTAGGGCTTCTGGGCTGCAGGGGTTGGCACCATAACAGAAACAAATATTATTTAGGAATGGGGTTACTTTACAAGCCCTGTCTTGCTTCATTGTTTCATCTTCCGGGTGATCTCAGGGGCCAGTGCTGTTTCAAATCTCATCTTTCGGGAAGAACAAGAGCTGGGGTGAAACCAGCAACGTTATGCAGAGCTGGACCTGTGGCTTCCCCCACGTGCCCAGCACTGTGCCATGCCTTGTGCTTTTGTTTTTTGTTTCTTCGGTGCATGTTGGTTACGCACAGGAACCCTGCTGCAGCATTTCCATGCACGTACGTGTGTACTTTGATCTTTCTGACCCCCCTTCCCTGGCCCCCCATTCCAATCCCCTTTCTCTTCTCTAATCATCTCTCTTCGTCTTTCATGTTGTTTTTCCCCCTAAATTCCACACATGCAAGAAAACACGAGATGCTTGCCTTTCTGCATCTGGCTTCTATCACTTAAAATAATGATCTCCAGTTTCACTCATGTTCCTACAAAGGCCCTGGTTTCATTTCCTTCTTTTAGGGCTGAGTACTACTCCACAGACGCCCTGGGCTGGTTGGACCACTTGGCTGTTGTGCAATGCTATGCGCTGCTCTGGCAAGGCTGCTATGGTGCTCATCCGATATTGGTAAAGAGCTGAGTAGTTCAAATCCCTCATTCAAGGTCTCCCTCCGGACAGCAAGTGGCAGAGCTGGGGAGCAAATCCAAGCCAGAGCGCCTCCTGCTCCTTTGCAGTTGCTGCTGCTTGAAGAACGCGGGCGCCCCCGTGTGGCCAAATGTCATCTCGCTTCAAAACAATTCAGACGGGGGCATGGCGGGCAAAGAGGGAGGATGGGGACATAGGCAGGGAGACCTCACTCTTCTCCTGTGGAGAAAGAAAGGAAACCTGCTGAGGAGAAACCGACTTAGTTCATTTCAGCATTCGTTAAGGTAATCATGGCCCTGGGTGTGGTGATGCACACCTGTAATCCCAGCACTCCAAGAGGCTGAGGCAGGAGGATTGCACGTTTGAACCCAGCCTG